TACATGTACTGGTACTTTGAGGTGATGGCGCCTCACTGTCATGCCTCCACACTGTGAGGTGATTTTTCTTCAGACAAGAAACCTTTCTGGATGTCCTGTATCTCTCTACAAAATGTCTTTACGTCTTTTTTTTATTGATCCAGTTAATGGGTCACACAGTACTCACTTCATGTATTATATGTAGTTTTTGTTCCTAAGATGCTGACTTTTTCTTTTTTTCTCAAATTGTTTTTCAATGAGCCAGTTCGGTATTCCAACAGTGCATGCTCAGAACGAGGCTACTTGGAAATAGCTACACTGTACATGTGCACGCACACGATAGCCTGTCTTCCCGACAGACCTTGGCTTTTGGAAATACCGAAATTGGTTCAAATGTGAAGAGTGACGTGTTGAGGCTTGACAGAAGTTCAGTTTTAACAATAGGATTGCATTCTATTGAATGGCTGGATTTACCCGTAGCCAACGTATCTACGTACTTATGATTCTTGTCATTTGCATGTCAGTGTATCGATCATCCAGTCTGCTCCAATTAACAACCTGTCCAAATTTACATATAGTACACTACAATGTACATGTCAGGTAAAGCTGTTTCATCGCGGTGGGCATATTCACACCAGCAACACTTACAGTGTAACACTGTGGTGTAACAAATTACACCAGCAACACTGCACAGTCTCACCTACATGTAGTCTGTGATGTCATGATGTGATGTCCCATGGTGAGGGTGATGTGTATTTTTGTGGCCCAGTCATGCAATCGTTCTGGGCCAATGAAAATGCCGTTTTTAAGACAGAGGTACAACAAAACTGTACAAATCAGCTTTTGCCGAAGCTCCACGACAACTCAGATTTTGTGTGTCCAGTGAGAATGTTGCATTAAAATAGTGTGTCGTTTGTGATCAAACACAATGATGGTCACAATAGCGGAGTGTGAAATGAGTACTTACAGGTGCATGTTTGCCATACATGTACATGTACTTAAGGTACGTGTAAAGATTTAAATATGATTCAGAAAAAGGGTAGTGGTCCTGAAAAGTGAAACTGAAATTATTACTCTCCATTCTTGGGTCAAGCAGAAGTCACTCTCTTCACATACATGTACTTCGCACTTACACGTTCTTGACGAAAACAAAATGCACACATGTACATGTACTGTATTCAAATGCGTCTATTTTCCATACAAACATGTCATGGGCAGCTGGCAACGATGCCAAAAGATGACTTTTGGCAATGGCCAAGAGCAAAATAGAAAAAAATGTTACATGAGATCTGAAGCACACTGAATAATTCAAGTGCATCATTATCATAGTTAATCATGCGCTGAAATCAGATTACGGCTGATGAGTAGATCAGGCATCAGCTTCATAATTGAGTTCCATGCACAGCAAAGGGCCACACACTCACCACTTTACAACACGAGGGGTCTAAATAATAAATAGGGAGGGGTCTTATTAATAATAAAAAGGGTGTGCTCAAGCCTCCTTTGAAATCACAGTCATGTTTTTCTTCTTTGAAGTGGCTGCTAAAACTATGGTTGGCCGTCATTACAAAAGTAAAAGAATACATCAGAAGGTGTTCAAAACCCCATGCAGTTATATTTATTACTGAAAATGGGTCACGTGGGAAACACGTCCCATAATTCAATATTCCCTAATCCAATCTTAACCAAACTTTGCATGTTTTCCTTTGAGACCCTAATCTATCATCTCTCAAAATGTGGACAATAAAAATTTTCCGCCTTTTGGTAGTTGGAGCATTAGGGTGACTTTGAAATGTCTCCCTAATGACCGATGTCTCCCTAAGGTTGAAAAATTTACCACAAAATGTCTCCCAAGTGACCTATTTGGAAATATTAGAACATCAGATGAAAATAACACCCGACACCAACCTAAAGGGTCAAATGTCCATTTTGGACAAATCTGAGGTAAAATCGAAGACCAACCACCAGGTGATATTTGTGCAGACTTTTGTGGCCCATACTAGTTGTAGGCAAAATGAGAGTGGTCCATATACTGGTATGTATGTGTGAAAACTGAAACTCGTGATGGATGGGGTGCCAATTTGAAAAGAGGTGCAAAGAAGCAACACAACAAAACTATTAATAGAATGGGTTACTTCGTGAAAGATTAAGGTCTATCTGAATTCAATTCCCAATCACAAATAAATTTACAAATGGCGTAAATTTATCATCAGTCAAAATAAGGCGTATCTTTCAGATTGGGTGATTGGACTAGAGGCAATGTCAGAAAATTCAAGAAAAAAATGAACAAAACAAAATACGAGGACGAGAAAATCAACCTTTCATGTCCTGAAACTATCGGACGTCATGCAATTTCTAGAGACAATCATGACGATGACAGTATGGCAGGAAAAAGAACGTGCATAAAATCAGCATGATGACAACATTGTAAATTGTTAATAATGGGCCTAATCCAACTTTGAATTTGTCCACGCTCTGCTGAGCTTAAGTCTTCGCACAAGCACGCACTGCAGTAAAAAAAAAAGTGCTGCTGCCGGACATTTGCAATACAAGCTGTGACCCAAAATGCCCGCAGGCTCTCTATGTACGCTTAAAAAAGGGGGTTGCCGAGTTGAGGACTCCGTTCCATTAGGAGGACTTGGTCACAAATCTTCTTGCAACATTTCGTACTCCCCTATTAAAATAGATGAAAATGGCACCACTTGATGTTTGCAGAACTGGTCCTGAGGGGTAAGATACAGGGAGGGCGTCAAGGCGACCATGAATCCACCAAGGCATGTACACAAAGAAAAGTTGGCCACTGCACAATTTACCAGATGATCCCTGAACAGTTGATGAAGCGTTCACTTTAGAAGCTAATATCGGATTTTCTTGCAACAATATGACACCCACCACCTGATGCACTGTTCTCTTGATTATAATCATACGTGTACAAAAACAAAGCTTTTAGGGAGGACGTGCACCTGTTTTTGACTTTCCAGAAGTGCCAAATCTACACGTACCAGTATGTGCTGCACATGCTCACTCTGCCATTACATGCAGCGAGCCTACTCGTCTATCAGCCAATCAGTGACTGCCTACTGCCATCTTTATTTTGCAGGTGTGCTGCAGTTTGTGCGTTCACGGTGGCATGGTGGCCGCCATCAATTTACATTTAACTCTGTAACTTCTCTCAAAAGTCAAAAACTTGTTCTCTTTCCACAAACATAATCCTGCAGATATTCAACATGGCGTCAGGGTTACGCCCTAACTGTAGTGTCTGTTCCAACTGAAAGTGTGTGTGTGGGGGGGGGGACCCAACTATAACGCCATTTTGCCTTATATCAGCAACTCGTGCTTGCAGAAATAGTCCTTAATTTGTGTGTGTGTGTCATGGATGACATATTTTTGGATGAATTCTGTCAACGGTGTACCGCATAAACTAAACTTGGAAAAGTTGAGAAATGTCTATACATTTTCCAGCTATGTAGCTACTGTAGGACAGCCTAACTGCAGCACTACATTTGGGGCAACCCCAACTATACGGTAGTTGGAGCTCATTCTCTAGAGTTGGGGTTCAATATTCATCATGTGAGCACAAAAAGTCTAAAGAAGATTTTGTCCACTTGTCTACAGACCCGCAATGGTCCAGACAAAAATTGCACCCTCGAAATCAGCAAGATGTCAAAAATTTGGATTTGAGACCTGGTTAAATACTAAGACCTGCCTTGTGACCTACCAGCAAATATGGACACCCCATTTTCAAATACTGGCTAAAATCCTCATAGGATTTGCATGGCTCCTGGTGCTAGGCCAACTAGTGGTTAACTTACATTTGGGCAATTCCATGCAAAAATGAAAATGCATCAGTCCACTACTTTTGAAAACTGTAATTTAAAGTCATAAAATAAAAAAAAAATTCAAAACCAACCAAAGAAAGAGTTCCATACACAGACAACACTACTTTTCCTATAAATGTTATAACAGCCATCAGAAAGTGATGAGCCTAACAAGTCCCCAAAACTGAAATTTATCTGAGAAAATTCCAAAGCGTTTACTTAGAAAAAACACAATTTTTCAGACAAGTCTTATACAAGTTTGTGCATGGGGCATCAAGTGTTGTCTGAATGTGGCTCTCTTTCCCAACGTAAGTATAAACAAATATAGACTTGTAAACGGGGCCTGACTTATACTTCTTTGTCATAAACTGGGCCCTGTCCCAATTGATAGTGATTTCTTTCGATCAAGTTTATCGGAGATGTCCAGGAATATTATTACACATCTGCTGGCTCTTATGAGTTGCAATTGCACGAGTATGTTCACTACTTACCCTGCTCACTGTCCCCCAGGTTATTTGGCCCGAATTTTGGCCCAACTTGCACAAAACTGACGGCTGTTTCGTGTGACGTCACAGAGAGCAAGCCGTGCTACATCTTCAACAATTCGCAGCAGGTAATTGACTGGACGGGGAACTAGCATTGCGTATTTGCTGCGACACAAAACAGCCGTAATTTTCCATGACTACTTGGATCAACAGGTACTCTCATGGATCCGAACCGAAATTCGTATGTGCTGAAGTCTGAATGCAAATTAAACAGGCTCTCGTACAGGCTACCATCACTTCACCATACAAAGGAGTCTGTGTAATAATATGATAGTTGGGCCAATATTCGTCCGGAATGGGGAAAACACCGACTGAAGGCAACATATATGAGGAAAAGGAGAGTTTGTAATAACAAACCGGGGGATAGTTAGCAGCGTAAGTTATGAACATTCCAGTGCAATTGCAGCTCCCATTTTTTTTATAAGATCCAGTGGATGTCTGATAATATTCCCAGACATCTCAAATAAACTTAATCGAGAGAAATCACTCGGGACAGGGCTCAGAATATGACGAAGGTGTATATGCCGGGCCCAAGGTCCTTGCCTGCCAAGTAAAGAGAATTGAGAAGTCGGACTCAGCATACAAACCATGCTAATTACACTACACAAATGTACAATACATGAGTTGGAAACTAGACCAGCACTGCTTACACACTCACCGATGAAACAACTTTGTCAAAGTTCCTGCTTCATTTAATTCGTAACCCTTGTGGAACGTGCACGCAGGCCTCAGCAAAGACAGTAGATTCGCACAGGATGAACAGTACACTGTCGTAGAAACATGACCTAAACTGTTCCGACCGATACGGGAATGACGGGGAAAGATCGCGCTGTCTTTCGTCGGCAGCTCGCTGCGGTCTAGTCTGTGTACGGGTACACACATGTACTGTACTTGTATACATACGTCACACAGGAAAATCATGCACAAGTGTACCTATTTGCATGTTTCCATGGTATCGCTACAGTAACTTGAAACTGTTAAACTTGTCTCCCACTATCGACCTAAAAGAGGACAGTCAAGCTGGGTGACGTTTCTGCTTCACTGGGGACGGTAAACACATATACTACGGTGAATTTGAAAGGGATCCATGGGGTGAAATTAGCAACATCAACGTCTCCTGCTTCGTCTAGCGTTGAATCCTGCAAGTGCCGCGGCACTGCTCACTAGACTATGCATGTACATGTACTAGGCGGGCCTGGGGCACGCCGAAGAACTTACTTAGCAGTTGTCATTGGTTCTCAGCAGTTTCCAGACACCCGTACAATGGCCGAGCACGGGTACCAGCATTTACATTGCAAAATTAACGTGAGGGCGCTCTACCAAACATTACCCCTGTATTTCTGTCCAAATCAGAAAAATTATTTGATCCATTTCTTTTAAACAAAGATTCCTTTGGAGCTTTTAAGGGAGGAAAATGAAATAGAAATATAAACAGAGAAAAAAGAAAAAGAACATGACGAAAATTGCGTAATCCCTCATCTACTGGCTGTACAAAATTCAACGAAGGGGACGGGTAAGAAAATAATAGGGGCATATTAAACTGGTTTTCCTGACTAAGTAGGGGATACCACAAAAAAGACTATTGAGGCTTTTTATGTAGGGAGGAACTGACCAGTTTTCACACTGTGATATTGGATAAGAGTAGAGTGCAATTTATTTTTAAAATTCTTGTTAGCTTTTGCTGAAGTATTTTTTTAGCGTCATGATGATAGTCAAAGTCCAAAAGCTAATTTCATAAGCTTGCATGGCCTTCAGGGCTACGAATACATGAGCCACTTGTCTTAAATTAACTATTCATTTAACGGTCATGGTCACTGTATGATGAGCATTTGCCACCTGGGAAGGCGCACCCTATCATATCGAAATAGAACTCCGCTTCCCATCTGCCATCAGTAAAACATGTCAAAATGTCACAAATGGTGTATGGGTGTGCGTGGGTAGGGCTGGTCTCACCATTGTTGTAGTCGAGACCTGGATGTCCGAGACCGAGACCACGAAAAACTGGTCTCGAGACCGGTCTCGAGACCTACCGTGAACACTGGGTCTCACATACTTCCAACAAGTATTCGCGAAGCACAAGTTAAACTATGCTCAACTTTCAGAGGTACTCCCTGTGGTTTGTCTGGTGCCCTCTACCAGTAAGCGCCCGAACAGTGCGGGCAGAGTGAGTGTACATCAGAGAGGGCGCACTATTATGGGAGGAGATTTAACATAACATGTGGAGGGAACCAGACACCCCAATTGACAGAAACAGTCGCACCGCCAGTCTTTCTCTCTGCTGTACGCGTTCGATGGGGTACTTTGACACGGAACGGATATTGAACCAGTTTAGAGGCGTATAAAATGTGATTTTGCATTCAGATGTTTACAGCCATCAAGAAAACTTAAATTTAAAGAAAATTTAGATGCAATGAAATTTCCGAAAATCCCTTTCTGTGCATCTTTACATACTCTTCTTTATTTAAGTATAAAAACTGATATCTTTTTTGAGTTAAATTGCCCCAAAGTTTTCAGACAAGTGAGGGCGTTGTTGCTGTGGAATAATTAAGGAAGACACTGTTTAATTTACTTGTCATGTTTTCGGGTTCAAATTTCGAACCCCAAACTTGCTCTTGGAATACATTTCTGAGAAAATGTTACCAGTTGGCGTATTTCCACACACTTGTACAACAAATTGCAAAAGAATCTAGCAGTTTTTGTGCACAAATCATTGCAACATTTTGAGTGCCCTGGATGATATCACAGTTTTGTTCATGAATATGCAAAATTTACATTAGCATAAAAACCTGAAAGGCTCCATAATACGGACAAAAATAACAAAAGAAAAGTTGGGAATATGGTGCGTTGCAGCAAAGTTATATGGTCATGATCCCTTTAAGGAAGTGTTTCCAATAAATTCAAAACAAACAAGAAGCACAATAGTTTTGGATCCTTGTATAAACCATCACTCAAACTCCGTCTGCTGTCTTTTTCTAAAGGTTCGTCATAGTTCATCGCTTCGCACGTTATCTAATTCAGCAACTCAGAGAGTTTCGTTTTCGTTTTTGTTTCGCTGATACTGCCAGTGGCCTTGGCTTTTTGTCCACTTTGCATTGTTTGTCTTCTTGTTGCCCAGCTACGAATCCGTGCAGTGCTGGGACCCCTTCAAAGAAAACCGGCTTGCTATGTTTCCGATCCAGGATACAAACACAGCCTGGCTTCTTCTCATCCGAAGGTCAACGCATAATTAGTCGCTTTGCCTGATGCGAATGGAAATATGGTGAATTTAATACGAATCTGTCTTTCGGTGGAAACTGAAACAATGGGAATACAACCTTAAGTTGGATATAATTATTCTTGTTCCTATGAATAAGTATTTCTGGTGCCGAAACCAGTGATTCCCAAGAAGCGTACTAAGCACTGTAAGTGGGAAGCCTCGAGAAACCTGTCGACTGTAGAGAGGGATACATGTACAATTTTAGACGTGGGAAGAAAAACCGAAGGGAATTTTGTGGTTAGAACCTACGGAATCAGTTCGGGACTGAAGACCCAATCCACATGCGGACCGGGCCGGAAATCGAACCATGGCCCGAGAGGTAAAACACGGAGAACGAAGCACTACTCCAACGTGACTCTCCAAAGGGTTATCTTAAAACAAAATAAAAAACTATAATAATAAAAATAATCCAATAAAAAATAAGGAACACATCTTTCTCAAACTCAAAATGACGGGTAGACAGAGACATTTAGGAGCGCAAGGAATAAAAAAAGGGGTGAAAAGGAGGACAAGAGAATAAAAGGAAGGGGGTTTTAAAGAAAGACACAAATGGGTTCTTTTTTATTCCTGTTATTCGCCCTTTTTTTATTATGTCGGCATCCATTTTGTCTTTTCCAGCTCTTCATATTACAACGGTCCGGAACAAAATATGCACTCCCAAAACAATTATGTACACAGAGCTTTACGTGACCTCGGTCAAACTATGAGGGCGGTGTTATAACGCTTCGACTAATCTTAACTTTTTTAATAATATGACAATCATTCAATTTCGTAATCAAAGAACAGATATATTTTGCAGTAGTGAAAATATAGGTTTGCCTCGCTCTTTCGCCCAATCAGAAACTTCTCAACCACCGTCTATGTTACGTCACAAAATAGACGACGCCAAAATTACAATTATTCAGTGAATGTTGAATTAAGCCACCTGCAAGGAAATTCACATTTCTGTTACAGGGTGGAATTTACATCGCGAAAGACGGTGTCTGAATACTAAGTTCTCATTGGCTGAAAACATTGCTTACGAACAACAATGTAGCAGAGGCAAATTGACTATATACTTAGAAAAAAAAACAGTGTGTTCCCACACTTTTCATTGCAATAGTATAGGCAACGCAATACGAACAGGCTTCAAATATGCCTCACGATGATATGTTTGTAATAATATACAAATATCAATTTGTACTGGAAGAATTGTTTCGACCTAACTCTCAATCTCGGTCGATTCACACAAATTCTCTCAATTTCACACGCGAGTTTTTTTTTTTCCACCAACTCATCGCATTCTCTATTTGTTTACAAGTTAAATTCGAGGTATAACAACATCACGGCTAGGGTGATCGGGTATCAAAAAACTACTTGAGTCCGCCGTGGAATTCGTACGAAGCTAAATTTCACATCGGCTGTAAACACCGACCTACATCTAAAAATACAAACAACACTATATCTATGTATAACTATACCATCTCAGGTGAGGCGAAATAACTTCTGTTATCACTGATTCGGACTACAAAGTTTGAGGTGGCACTGTAATTCGGCACACCAATATCATGGGAATTTTTTTCTTGGAAATGTAAAAAATAAAGTTATCAATCTCAGCAATGACATGAGCCAAATACTATGATATCCTAGTAATTAATCATTGCAAACCATTTGTACTTTCAAAAGAGAAACAATCGTCGAACTTTTTCTTGAAATCACTCCTGAAAAGCTTAATACTGCTCTCAGTCCACACACAGGTGAAAGAAATTAAACAAAAAAGAGAGATTAAAAATCACTAAACAGCACTTCATGTTGTTTTACCAAAACCAGTCAAAACAAAAAAAATCGCCATAACATAATTATTAAATAATCTCAATTGTTAGTAATTTTAACGTATCAAAATAACCCCGTGACCGGAGAGGTCATGACGACTTAGTTAACGCATGTCTGTTTGTGCGTACAGGCGGAAAAACCGCTCTACAAAATGCATTAACAAACTATGATTACTCGTGACATTCAAACAGTTAGTTATCAACCACCGAATAAGACTAACAAAATACATGCGTGGCACACCTAATTTCTGCTGATACAAAAAGTGAATTATCTTACAAACAGACACGTAGGCATTGAACCACAGAAGCGTGTCTGCGGCTTACAATTTGCCCTAATCACTTATGTTACAAAAAAATTTAAATACCAAGTTAGAAACTGTTCCCTAAGTCGCGGCGAACCAGTTCGGCGACAGCTAATGTTGAAAGATCACTTAACTTAATTGCATTATTTAAAAAGAGTGATTCGTACGTATTATTAATTACAAGGATTGGTTGAATCATCTTTTCCTCCACGGTCCCACTCGGCCATATATCACCAGCATATCCAATGATTCCTTGCGGGCGTGAAAGTAAGACAACAGACCAGTGGAGCTGTGTCACTCAATCCACAGACTTTCACCAAACCGTGCGCACACTTTTCACAAATCTTTTCTGTAGTGATATGTTCTGTGTTTTCCAAATGTACAGCAATCAGAAAGATAACAAAAATGGCCAGACGACAATGCCTCTGACTAAAAGAAAACGCCACAAACACCCTGCCTACTTACACACCCTAGACAGTGTGTGGCCTCAGTAAGCCATCTCATCACCTGTGCAAACGCAGTCTTTTTGTACATTGTTCTCCTTGTTTGTTTCGGACTTTTGCTTTCAAGTCCGATGCCTCTGTTCAACCGCCACAACGTCTCGCACTCATGGAAGGTTTTTCCCTGGGCACCCTGGGAACTCCAAGGTATGCGTCAATTGGTCCCAGCGAGTTGCCAGTTTATTGCCATAAACTTCATAAACTGCCAGATTCCTCCGTGACGAGCCAAGCGCCTGTGAACCGGCCGCCCCTTCATACGGCCAGGTAGTCTTGCTTTAAAGCAGGGTAGCAGTTGTCGGCCAAGGCCCGATCTTTGCTGTTCTCCCCTGGGCTGAGGGCCTTCTCAACGTGGCTGGCGTTGTTCCTTTGGCTGTGGTCCTGGCCAGGATAAGGGGCCCGTGTGTTGCGCCGTGCCTGTCGTCGTGCCTGGCGTTCCCTCATCATCTCCTGCAAATATGCCATCTTGCTGCGAGTGTGGTTGTTCTCCTGCATGATGAATTGTTTCTTTTCTGTTTCAAGAAACAGAGAAGAAAAAGGAAAACAGGAAATATTCAATTAACTTCATTCCAAAGCGAAAACGAATAACTTTTTGTTTGTGACTACATGCTCTGTGGTAAAATATTGCTCATATATTCACAACCTGTAATTTTGTGTTTAAATCTAAAGAATGACATACGACTCTTCTTAATCAAACCCTGAAACTTTGCTCAACAACTTCTGGAATTCCATCAACATCTGTTACAATTCCTCAATAATTTTAATAAATAATGCCTTATACAATGCAACTTCAACATAAGCTGACTCTAGAGGGCGCAATGCACGCAATGTCAAGTAAAGACGAACATGAAAATAAGTTGTTTGGCAAGCATACCGGGTGGAGTTTGAGGTCTGACTGGAACACCTCCTCCTGAACTAGCTGGGGCAGCATTGTTTCCTGTTGTTCTCTGAGCGTGATGAGCCTGGGCACAAGACGCCCTCTGCCGCCGATGCTGATGGATATGTTGTCGGTAGAGAGGTGCAGCATGAAGGAGGTCGCCCAAGATGTGGGCAATGGTACTGATGTCTTTCTTGGGCCTGCCTTGACCATCCTGAACCGCTGCACTCAGGATACCTAAGCGCAAATAAAGGTCAGAGGTCAATAGTAACATCCTAAATGTAAAGCCCTGTCCTCATAAAAAAAAAGGGAAAAAAAGAATAATACTCAAAACATGTACATTTTGAAGGTGCCATTTCACTTGCTTTGCAGTGAAGATCACAGATCCACAATATTTAAATGAGGTCACCGGATGCAAACCAAGGTCAATTTCAAAGCACATTTTCGGCATATATCTAAATTATCTAAACTGATCTAATGACTAGTAAACTTGGTTGACTAAGTATCTCCCATTTCAGAGTGAATGTTCCACCAACTCAGGTGGATTTTTAAAAGGGCTGAGTTACGGAAAGAAAAGATGATCCACAACACAAGCTGACCAGTCCGCTTTGATACCAACATTGATACGTAAGCAGTCACCCTTCACGTTCATCTTCAGCCTTTTAGCAGATAAAAAAGAAAAAGATGTGTACAGCCGTGCCAGAAAGATCAATAGACTTACGGGATAAAGACTGACTAAAAGTTTAAGAGTGGCATAAGCTCTCATAGCTGCAGCCAGATGCATCGAGGAGGGACAAAGTTGAAAAAAAAAAAAGACAGAAAAATGAACTGGAGGAAAAAAAGGTTGAAATGTCAGCGGGAAACTCTCACCTGAGAAGGTTCCTGAGAACACTCCCGGTGAATGTTGATGGACGCTATCGATGCAGGCCCCAGATCGAGGCCAGGTCGGGGGAGAGGGTGGGGATGGTGACGGCGCTGATGCCATCGGTCGGGCGTGGCCGCATGACGAGGGCGGTATATTGCTTGGGTACTGCTGCGGAGGTCTGTTGGCTAATGAGGGTGCCATACATGCCGTCTTGCCGTGGAGGGGGCACTGCGACTGAGGGCATGGCTGAAGGAAAAAAGTCACACACGTTGCATGTCACTGTTTGACCTTTTGTTAGAAACAAACAAAATCTTTCTGGGATACTGCCTTTATTTATGTAGTATTAAATGCTTCGTTAACATTCTTCCTTTTGTCAACAGAAGTAAAAGTGCTTTTGCCTTGAGCATTGTAACTTACAAAACAGTTTTCATTTTCTTAAGGTGCAGCCAAGTAAATAGGCGCATGAAAAAAGTAACGAGAAAAATTTTCAGACAGGGAAACCGTGCAATTACAAATGACTCATGGGGCCTTCTGAAAAGCCAGCTCATTCCAACAGCATACATTTTATTAGCCATGCCTTATTTTAATTTTAAAAAAAGAGGCTCCACCTACTGGCTGATATTCTTTGCTGACAGGTGGTGATTGGCAGGTGGATGCTGTGGGCGTGGCCTGGTGATGAGTGACTACTGGCTTTGGTTGACTGGGCGCGGCAGCTTTGTGGCAGTTGAGAAAGCTGTGTTGGCCTGGGGTACCAGCCAACTGGAGCTGGACATATACCATGTGACTCCCAAGTCGAAGAGCAAGGGTCAAAGGTTGCTTGCCATTGAGGAAATTATCCACCTGTGGAAAATGAGATTTAAAAAAGAAAAAAAGAAGCATAAATATTTGAATGGAATCTACAATACTTTCCCCTCATTCCTCTTGCCCTCAATGCGATATTCATGTTTTGGTCAGGGTTTTGACTCTTATAGAGCAAAGACAACATTGAGAAGGGCAAAATTCATTTTACCAACGGAGAAAAAGTCAGTGTGCTTCTGATTATTTTTAAATCAATCCTCAGCGCCCCCCCCGGCAACCCTCAGTGAAAAGGTAATTAGCCACCAGCAACTGGAAAACTTCTCATCATCAGGACAAGAGCTGATTCCAATCAAATCTGTATTGCAGTGACGGTTCACTAATATCAGCAGATAACGCGCGCTGTGCATGCAGCAGAAGCCCCCCCCCCGGTCGAACTATCTGGCTCCATTTTAAATGTCAACCAAAGGTCGTCACACTGGCTGTTATATAGATAACAGTTTGTCCCCCAACGAGTCACGCACGTGGAACACGATTAAAAGAGGCTAGAGCCTGGCGTATCAGTCGATTTAATAATATAGGCACTCATTACAGCGAGCGCACTTTGACATTACAATACATGTGGATGTATTATTTTGTCTGCATAAAAATGTTGTTGTTGGCTCAAAAATACATGACTATATTTGGTGATGCGTTTAAAAACAGCTTATCGGTAGCTGGTTAAGGGCATTCCGATACTGCTCGGGGTAAAGTCCTACACCTGTGCATTTTGACATTTCAAAAGCCTGCAATGCTGTACTTAAGAGAGAGACAGAGAGAGAGAGAGAGAAAAAAAAAAAAAAAAACAAGGCCTGCCGAAACCGATTCCCAACGACCTCTTCCGATCATTGGAACAACCTACACGCAAAGAATGGGGCTTGTCATTTTACGTAGGGTTCTCTAGTTCATGGGCATCTCGGAGTTCGGGCGGAATTCGCCAATTTTCTTGGTGTGTGAATGCTAACAAACCACCGCGTGAGCCATTGTATTTACAAAGCACAGTTGTTTTTAGCTACGCCCAATGATTGTTTTTACTTCGCACTAAATGCCAAAGGTTCGTCACCAACAGCTGACTCTGCAAAACCAAAATTTTCATGGAAGAGAGAAAAAATGGGTAACAACTGCTTCCCCCCCCCCAAAAAAAAATCAACGATGGAAAATGAACTCTGCAATAGAGCAAGCGTAGAGACTTCACACACTCGACATTAAGGCATGGAGAGACTGAAAAGCGGGACCGAAGAAACGCTCCCTGCTAACGGGCGTAAAATTAATGTCTGCGGCATGTTCCACAGATATGATTTCCACCAGGCACGAGTGACAAGTCGCTCATTCATACTACGTCATACGCGACCTTTTCGCCAGGTGGTGCTTGGAAGTCTCAATGTCATTCCAACACTCTGGTTGGTATGAGCCGGAGGAGAACTGCGAATCGAAGCTCCATTTTCCCCCTCACCATATGGGCCTTCGCATTGTCGGAATGAGGGTTTGCACTGCAGGATTTGGCGTTGCAATTTGAACGATGAATTAGTCTCTTTCAGAGGGGGGATTTATTTTCAATTTATTTTCTTCCAATAAAGTAGATTGGTTTGTGTGTTTGGGGGGGGGACCCAGTACTCGAACCATAAAGTTCCAGAGCGAACACTTTGGCCAACATCCCAACCATCAATATTTCATTGTTAATATACCGGTGGGCTGGCGACATGTCGTAAGCATGGACAGGGCACAATTAAGGGGAGATGGGTTGGTTTGTGATTCTATACAATCCGCCTCAGGTATATTACCGCCCATGTCATGTGCGTGTACATGCAGCGGCTACTGCGGAGAGCTGGAACCACGCATTTTGCGTTGACGCCGAAGCATAGTTACAATTTTAAAACTAATTAGTCAACAGCTTTTCCTAACTCGAACTTCAGAGAGGGAGGGGTGAAGTTAGACGTTAGGATGCTTCCTGACATAGAAGAAGGCTGAAACGTTTCTTTACGGCGTGCTTGAATAATGGTACTTGTGTTTTATGATACACCTACGCTATTTTAGGAGGAGATTAAATGAAACGTTAATAGCCACCATTTTTTTCCGTTTGTCCCAGGCACGGTAAGTTATTCCCCGATTGGAAAACATGTCCGTGGTCGACCAAAAAAAAAGGTCAGACATTTTGAAAAAATATACACATCTCGCCCTTGACCATTTAAACGATAAATTTTCGAAGATGTCCAACTGAAGAATGACCCCTTTGAGGCCGTTCACCCCTTCGTCCCTTCCTCCTCGTCCTCATCAGCATCCTCTTCAAGACTTCACCGGAGATGAGTTCATTAACCTTCGCGGAGGAATGATGAGAACGCAACGGGGCAGGATTTCTCAGAACTGCCCATCAATGGCGATTGATCAAGGGCTAAGAGAGAGATGAAGATGAAACAGGGACGGGGGTTGTGACATGAAATATCAGCGGGCTGTGCGGTAGACAGCCGCCTCTGCGCGCACAGCTACGGCTCTGTGCTTGCGGGCGACCGTAGGGAATGTACATGTACTTGTACATGTAACCTATCCGTGCCTGCATCAATGAGTTCTGCCCGAGGAATGACGTCACGGCACGCGGATGTTAAGCTGTGCCTCAGGGCGGTGAATGGAAGTGACCAGGGGAGACCGCGAGGCATGCGGTTCTCTCTGCATCATCTGCCCCGCCGTCCCAGTTTCGGCGCCGCGCGGTACATCCCGATATCATGATGATGAATCGCCTCGCTGTTGTCACAGACACAATCCTCTCACTAGGCATGAGGATGCAGAAGTGCATTATGTGGAGTTAAACGAGCAAGCCTGTTCTTTCTATTCAGTCCAAACCGACTGATTTCTCTAAATTGAATTCCATACATTTACATCCATCACAGCCCCGGTTACCTTGAAAACTGATTCTCATTGTGCATGTAAAGAGTGCACGTGCAGATCCCCCCCCCCGAAGATTTGTCAATGGAAACAGTTGGAAACGCCCCCATGCATACTTCCACCTTGAAGTTAGCTTGCGATATACCTCTGGTACTTGAACTTCACCCTGTTTAACAAAAGGCCAAACACAAGTTTGCTCGGCTGAAGACTGAGGCATAAGAAGTCAAAAGTGGCTGAAGAAGAGGGGCCGATGAATACGGGGAACATGTTCACGTTTATTCCTACCAAGAATTCCAAGGGTCCTGCGGACCGCCATCCTCCAACTGGTAACCCGGATACCAGCAGTGACGTCAAGAAGGGCCTTGTATATCGAATGCCCGTCTATTTCGTTCTTGATGCAATGCATTCATAGGGAGCCGAGGAAACGGCGCTAGAAATCTCGAGCTCTTTGTAGAATGACTCGGGGAAAGGTGAGGGCATGCTAATACGATGATGCGTGTCCCACAAAGGGCACACTCCTCTGTGAAACCTAACTCGAGCGAGGCTGGTAGTGAGACTGAGAGACAGTGCTGAGTGAGTGGGCCGGTCGCTATGGTCGAATCACAATTTGTGACAAGAAGCAAATTTTTACTATCCACGACTTCACATAACTTAAGTTCGGAACTGTGCTCCCATGGCAGTTTTACATCAGTGGATGTACATGTATCCTAATCATTCTTAATGATGGCGAGAGTAGTTGGCCATTCGGTGAATTTTGGGTTCGAAGACAAGTGCGATATTTTCCAGTCCGTTACACCTGACCTGTGTAATTTGAAATGGGACTTATCGCTGAAATTGACTTTGGCAGGTGATCTGCATTACCTAGTCACTTTGGACATTTAAGAATGTGTTCTGAACTTACAAAATTCAAAATGTCACATGTAACATGGACACAAAAATTGGAACCGAATTTACAGAATGACCCCTGTGAATTTCAATTAAAGAGGCAGCACATAACCTTGTGTTTTGTGAATTGATTCATCAGTAGCAATACGCCTTTAACAATTATTACATTACTACATACAAGTATAAATACATCTATAGGACATTATGATGCATATCCGTCAAAACAAACAGGAAATGGCTTACTCTATAAGTAATCTCTGAACGTCATTACATATTCATGTCGGTATTTATTCATTTTAATTTAACTTTCGGCATTTACAACTGCAACGCATTCCTTGAAAATCCTATTATATATCATGCCATAAAACTACCCTGTGATCTAGGGACTTTAACATATAATTTACAGGTGCATTTCACAATAAAAGTACGGGCGGCAATCACACGCATAAAAAGACTTGTTACGTGGGACTGGGAAGCATGGCCAGATTGCTCGGACAGCGCATGTGTATGAGCACTCTGGATTGCAGGTAATTTCAAAGTAAATCGGTGTTCAAAAAAAAAAAGAAAGCCACTTAGTATCTTTGCAGAGTTACAAGCCCGCCCACACACACCCCCTGGGAGATGGAAGGAAAGAATCCCATTCATGAAAAACTTCGCCCGCTTCTCGCACCGAGATCTCCCCCTCCCTGCGCGCGTGCGCCTTAAAACCCGGAGCCCTCAATTCAAGCGACAGTGGACTATGGACTGCCCTGAGCGCCGGAAGACGTTAAGAAGAAAAAAAAAAAGACAGTTTCCTCGGCTACGTGCTCTCCCTGCTTGCGGCAGCGTCCCGCATCTTCAGATTATATTTGACCTTTCGAAGAAGACAAAAATCAGTTGGAATTCCAGCGTCCGGTTCGGATTACATTTGGATCCTTGCAGCGTTTCGACACCAGAGCTGCATAGGGATCCGCTTAACAACTACGTATACTCACTTCTGAATAATGAGCGATCTTCGGCGAAATGTATACTCTACATCGGCATGATGGGCCACGTTTTTGTTAACATGATCAAAACAGAGGCCATAAGTATGTTAATATTAAAGTCCAGACTTCGATTTTCGATAAAAACAGCACTCAATGCACCAAGTTCTCATCAAGCTTATCTTTCAGATAGATCAACACATTTTTTTTTCCAGGGGAGGACTACCAATGGAAATAACGCATGATACAAGTATGCGGTGGATTAACGCGCAAAATGTCGCA